ATGGGATTTAAATACAAATATTTAAAAATATTTTATTTTTCTCCAATTACATATTAAAACAATTTTTAAAAACTTTTTTTTCTCTTTTAGGCAACTAGGGTTAAATGACTTGCCCAGGGTCACATAGCTAGTAAAGTGTCACGTGTTTGGTCTGAGGCCAGATTTGAACTCAGGTCCTCCTGACTGCAGGGCCAGTGCTCTATCCACTGCGCCACCTAGCTGCCCTAAAAACATTTTTTAAAAAAAAGTTTTGAGGGGGCAGCTACATGGCACAGGGAATAGAGCACCAGCCCTAGATTCAGGAAGACCTGAGTTCAAATGTGGCCTCAGACACTTGACATTTAACTAGCTGTATGACCCTGGGCAAGTCACTTCACCCCATTGCCTCAACAACAAAAAAAGGTGTGAGTTCCAAATTCTATCCCTTTCTCCCCTCCCTCCTCCCTCTGATGATAAGCAATCTGATGTGGTTTATACAGGTGCAATCATGTAAACCATTTCCATATTAGTCATTTTATACAAGAAGACTTGAATAAAAAAGAGAATGAATGAAAGAAAGAAAGAAAGTGAAAAGTAGCATGAAAAGCAACATTTTTGTTCAAGGTGTTTATTCTGGGGAGGACTGATTTGCATTTGCATTAGCATTAGCATTTGCATCATTGGCTGATCATTCTAGGACTGATTGATTCTTCTCTCATGCCCTGTACACAGGGTGACCAAACCTCTGCCATTCTCTCTTTTTTTAAATTAAAAATTTTTATTCTGAACTTAAACATTAAATAAAACAGACATTTCCAAACACATAGTAGAACAGAATAAGAGAATTATACATGAAACTACAGATATCTATCATTTACAGTTTGCTTTTCTTTCAGGTATATAATTAAGTTCAGCTAATAGCTTTCAAAGGAGCAGCTAGATGATTTAGTGGATAGAGCACTGGGCCTGGAATTAGGAAGATCTGAGTTCAGATGTGGCCTCAAACACTTAATAGCTGTGTGACCCTGGGCAAGTCACTTAACTTCTGTTTGCTTTAATCCACTGGAGAAGGAAATGGCAAACCACTCCAATATCTTTGCCAAGAAAACGCCATGGACAGTATGGTTTGTGGGGCCACAAAGAGTCAGATACAACTGAATGACTGAACATATCCAATAGCTTTCAGAGTTCTTTTGCTCACCTATGCTTCCTTCTAGTGTATCTTCTCTTCTGTTTTCTTCATTAAAAAAAAAAACCAGTTACCTTCCAAGCTGCTTTCCAAAATGACTGTATCAGTCCACAGCTCCAACAGCAGTGCATTTAGAGTGTCTGTTTTTCTGTAATCCCACAAACAGTTGCCAATTTTCCTTTATTGGCATTGTTGTCATTCTGATAGGTATGAGGTAGAACCTCAGACATACTTTAATTTGTATTTCTCCAATTATTGGTGCTTTGGAGCATTTTTTCATATGCTTATTGATAGCTTGGATTCCTTCCTTTGAAAACTTTTTGTCCATCTACTTTGACCATTTATTGGGGAATCCTGGCACTTGCTCTGATCAAATACTTCTTTGAGGCTCACTTCCAACTGTTCATATGATTGTGTTCCTATCCTTGTTGCTGCCATCTGGTGGCCTTTGAGTTACTCTCTTTCCTTTCACAAGTAGTTAAGTACTTGTCTCAGAGTTGTCTTCTCTCTTCCAGTGTCAGTCCTCATCCTTGGGAATCTCAGTGTTCACATTGGTGTCTCTTTAACATTCTGGCCTTATGGTTAATTAATTTCCTGAACTCCCATCACCTACATTTCCAATCTACCTTACTGACCCTGAAGGAGACTCACATTTTAGACCAGAGGGGTCAAACACTCAGCCCTATGGGATAGCAAGTTCACCCTGAACCAGATTAAAATGTAATTGGGAAATAAATGACAAAATAAACAGTGACGCAGTAGAAAATAGATGGTGTTAATGTTTGGTTTTCCAAGTTAATATGTCACCCAGAAGGATTGTTATGTATAGTTTAGGGGCTTCTGTTTCTATTTACATTTGACAACAGTGCCTTAGACCATGAGTCTTAGGAGTATGGTCTTTATGAGATCACCAACTCTGAAATTCCCCTATCTACCACTTTCTCCCTTCCTTCTATCTCTCTCTGTCCCTGCCTCCTAAACCTTTCCTTTGTCCTAATTTAAATCTCTGGTTCCTTCGTATCTCCCTCTTTTGCAGTCCCTCACTTTCCTCCTCTTAACTACCTTGCTTCGATAGTTTGACAATTCATCTATGCTATGTATTTCATCCCTGTAGGATGTTTCCCTATTCTTTGGATAGTGATATCTTGCCATTTCTCAACCTTACATTATCCCTACCATCTGCCTTCTTTGTTCCTAACTTCCAAATTTCTGAATGACATTCTGAATGACTGAATGACGTGTAGACAGTGTCTACAGGGTCCTCTAACTATTTTGTTAACCTGATCTCAACTGGGACTTTGCTACTGCATGACAATACTTGTATGCCTCCCTAATTGTCTATCTATTACATTTCCGTAAAGAAGCTGTTAACACTTTCTTCATTTCCAAACCCTTCCCTCTCCTACTTTACTGAGAAGATCGAAGCTATCCATCTTGCATTTGCTGATCTCCTACTTCTCTGTATCTTCATCTGTTTTCTTCTGTTTTGCTCCAGTCTTAGAGGATGAAGTAATCCTGATTCTTGACAAGACCAATCCCTCTATTTGTGCCTTTAATCCTATCCCTACCTACCTCCTTCAGCAGTTTGCCTCATTGATCGTATGCTTTTTTTCATTCATCTTCAGTCTTCCCCTGTCTGTTAGATAATTCCCTATGGCCTGTAATCGTCAAGTCTCACATATACCTAAAAAACAAACAACAACAACAACAGCAACAACAAAACAACCAAAAAAATCCCTTCCACTTGACCCTGTCATTTGTGTTATTTTATAATCTCTCCTAAATTTGGTTGCCAGACCTCAAGAAAGTATCATCCCTTCTCACTGCTTCTGTTTTCTTTATTATCTGCTTATTTCTTTTATTACCTTGCAGTTGGGTTTCAGATCCCACCAGTCAACTGAAATTGCCTTCCTCGAGGTTACCAATGATCTCTTAATGGCTAATTCCAGTGATTTTTTTCCAGTTTTTCTTCTCTTTAATATTTCTCTCCATATATGTGTTGACTGCCCCATTCTCCTGGATTTTCTTCCTCTTGACTCCTAAGGTACCATTCTCTCCTCTGATTTTCTTCTTACCCATCTGACCATTCTTTCTCAATGTCTTTTGCTAAATTCTTATTCATTCTCCACCCTTTAAGTGTGATTATAACCCAAAACTTTATCTTTTCATCTTCTCTTTCTGTACTTTATAATCTTATCTATCGTCAGTCTTTGTTTTGAATCTTTATGCCTGTATTTCCATTGCTGCTGGATCTTTTTCATTGGAGTGTCCTGCTGGCATTCAAACTTAGCATGTCCAAAACAGTACTTATTATGTTTCTTCCCTAAACCCATCTATCCTACATATGGCCCTGTTTGTAGTGGCAAAATAACCATTCTCCATTAGCTTCGTAATCTTGGACTCTTCCTCAATCCTATTCTTCACCTTTCATACCCATTCAGATGCCACGTTGTATAGATTCGATCACAACTTTTTTTGTGTATCCTCTCTCCCTTTACACAATCACCAACTCTGGGCCTTCAAAATGTGTCTTCCATACACTGTTGTAATAGCCTTCTGATTGACCTCTGTACCTCCACTCTCTTCATTTCATGTTTCACACAGCTGCCAAAATAAACTATTCAAGGCATAGGGCTGACTAGGTCCCTTTACTCCCTCAAAAAAAAAGAACCAGATAAATAACAACTAAAAACCTCATCCTAAACTACTAAGAACAAACCTTAAGAAACTATCTGTTTTCTCTGGGATAAATTGTATACCCTCTGGAATCTACGGTATAAGGCTTTTTGTAGTAAGGCTCCACCCTACTTTTCCAGGCGTATTTTATATTGTTTCCTTTTGGAGTCCCCATTCAGTCTGAACTGGAATACTACCTGTTTCCTGAACTAGACATTTTTTTACAGGACATCTCCCATACCTGGAACATATATTACTTTGTTCATTTTCACCTTTTAGAATCCTTATCTTTCTTCAATGCTCAACTCAGGCATTACCTCCTCACTGAAATCTTCCATGTTCCTCCAAATTCTTTGTTCTCTTTTCCTCTTCAGATTTTACTAGAGAACTTTGATTTCTCCCTTACCCTTATCACTTTGTATTTTTTCTTCTATTCATATATTGTTTTCACTGGTAAAATAATAATAATAATAATAACTTGTAAGACACTTCTAATGTTTCAAGCACTTTACAAATATTATCCCTTTTGATTCTCAACCCTGAGAGATAGGCTATTATTATCCCTATTTACAGTGAGGAAACTGAGGCTCAGGAGAGGTTCAGAGTCACACAGCTAGTAAGCCTCTGAGGCGCAATTTGCACTCAGGATTTCCTGACTCCCAGATCCAGTGCTCTATTCACTGTGTCTCTTTGATGCCTAGGAATGCCTTAGAATGTAGCACCTTGAAAGCAGAGTCCATTTGCAGATAAAATGATGAAAAACAGAGCCATATATATACATATACATATACATATACATATACATATACATATACATATACATATACATATACATATACATATAGTCCTAGAATCTTTCCTCTGATTATTTGTATATATTGAAGGCACCTGTATTTCCACTGTCCATTTGTTGCCTTTCATTTGGTTACATAACCAATCAACTCCATATTCTAGTCATAGATGTCTTGGCTGTGTTTCAAATGACTTCTTGCAGGTAAATCATTGTTTCAATACTACAGTCTGTGTACATCTGCTGTGGGTTTTTGTTATTATTACTATTCTTTGAATTGTTTGTAGTTCCAGTTATTTTGAAAAATGTATTTAGGGGAAAATGAAGGTGATCCTTGAATTCTTCATTCGTTTCCCCCCTCCCCAGGATGAGTCAACAGGAGAAATCACATTCTATATGAAGGGAGCAGATGTTGTCATGGCTGGTATTGTGCAGTATAATGACTGGCTGGAAGAAGAGGTAAGATTTGGTCTGGGCTTGTTTTTTCTAGAATAAAGCACAAAGCAAAAGCTGTTAATAACCTTCTTAAAAGAAGTGACCCCCTGTTGGCATTCTGGTTTGTGAAAGCTGCCTAACAGCGGGAAACATAAGGCTGTAAAGAGCTGGGTCTCTGAAGGAAAGAATTGGTCATCTGGGAGCAGGGGAGGGAGCCCCAGAGGGTCAGTTTCAATGTCAGATTGGCTCATTTAGTCATTCTGTTGTCCGTAGTTGTTTTAATTTCTAGGGTCTTGTTTGAAATTTTAAGCTTTTCCCTAACTTTGGAGGTGTTGTTTCTAAGAAAACCATGATTTGCAACGGTGGGGGGAGTGTACATTTTCTAGGTTTACAAGTCTCTCTTTTAATTTCAAACTGCATATTTGTATAACATTTAGTCATTAGTGTTTAGGCTTTATCCCAAATGTGTGGGCTTATTGAATAATAGCCAGTGATGATCTTTGTGGATTTCTAGTTAAAAAAAAATAGTCATCCAGATGGCTAAACCACTACTATGATGAGATATAGATAACTAGTATATGTGTAATCCAGGATCCTGACTTTAGGTTAAAGTTAATCAGCTATACAAGTAGAAGGTGGGGGAGACATTGCCAGATTGCAGTTCATGAGAAAAAGACAAATTCAGTATGAGTCAGTATGATATTTTAGCTCCCTCCCAAAAAAGAACTTAATAAGACCTTGATATTCATTCATCATGCACTTGTTCATTCATTCACCCTTTAAACAACAATCACTAAGACTCTGCCAAAACACCATGCCATGATATACTTCAGATATTTGAAGGGTTATCAGGTGAAAGAGGGTTGTTCTCTGTGGCTCTAGAAGGCACAATTAAGATCAGTGGTAGAAGCTACAGGAAGGCAGATTTTGGCTCAATATGAAGGGCTTTCTAACTATCAGAACTGTTTGAACAAAAGGAATGAGTTGCTTTGAAAAGTAATGCATTCCTTGTCACTGAATATTTTCAAAAAAAGGTGTGATGACTGAATACCAGGGATGTTAGAAAGAGATTCATTTGAACTTCCAGCAGGGTTTGGATCTTAGAGTTGCCTTCCAACTCCAACCTCCTTTAATTCTAGGAAAAAATTTTTATACTGGTTAACCTTCAAATTCTTTTTGGATGGAATAGGTCATGCTGTCTCCATTTTCCATGCTAGATAAACATAAGAACAAGTTACTACAATTAGGGAAAAGCTGTCGACATATCTAGGATGAGGGTTGAAGCATGCTGCTAGTCACATAGTTAATAAATACTCATTGATTATACAAGACTCTTAAGCTTTTCACCTTGTTGATTGTGGTCATGTTCTCTGGCTGCTTTTCAGTGTGGTAACATGGCCAGAGAAGGCTTGAGGGTTCTGGTGGTTGCGAAGAAGTCTCTGACGGAGGAGCAGTATCAGGACTTTGAGGTAAGAGGTTTTATGGTGTAAAATGGATGATTGGGACTCTAAGACTTGACAACAGTGGGGAGAAGCTTCTGTGTGAGGAAATCTAGTGATTCTATGCCTTGGAGTATTATTGTTCGTCCTTTGTTCTCAAAGAGGACCAATGTCATCACGAGGGTGATGTCTTAACTTACGCATGAATTGGATTCAAGGAGCCAATGTGGAGTCCTTGAGTAACAATTTCTAAGGAAACCTTGAGAATAAACATGTGAAATTTGCCTACCAGAAATCATATCTCAGCCACACTTTTTGTAGCTAAAGGTGCAGGAAGTAGAACGTGTAATTGGTCTTGTTTGAATGCAGAATCAAAAAGCTCTGCTCTGTGGTTGTTTATGATGCCCTTATGTTGACAATCTTGTATGTAACATTATAAAAGAACTCCAGGAATTTTTAGGATTAAAGCAATCTGATTTTTTTTTCAGCTACTTCAGAATAACCTCATTAGAGAATCTTGTGCCTTAGTACTATGGGATCAGGAGGGCAAAATTTGAGTGAATCAGTGGACATGTCTTTTGCTTCCCCCCTCAGGCACGCTACGTCCAAGCGAAGCTCAGTGTTCATGACCGTTCCCTCAAAGTGGCGACTGTGATTGAGAGCCTGGAAATGGAGATGGAGCTGCTTTGCTTGACTGGAGTGGAAGACCAGCTGCAGACAGATGTGCGGCCTACCTTGGAGACATTGAGGAATGCGGGCATCAAGGTAGGGCCAGAATATACCAGTGACTGGATTCTGAGCCTGTGGCTTCTGCCACTCACAAATAGCCAGTTCTGCCCAATTAAATTCAACAAATGTGAAGTGTGCAAGACACTGGGAAGATTAAAAAACCAAAAACAATATACTCTTTACACTTAAGGATTTGACAGTCTAGTAGTGGAGATATGGGCAGCTAGCTGGCACAGTGGATAGATTGCCAGGCTTGGAGTCAGGAAAGCTCCTTTTCCTGAGTTCACATGTGGCCTCAGACACATATTAGCTATGTAATCCTAGGCAAGTCACTTAATCCTGTTTGCCTCAGTTTCCTCATCTGTTAAAAAATGAGCTGGCATGTATAATCTATATCAGATTCCATGCCATTTTGGGGAGTGTGGAGGGGAGAGAGGGAGAAAAAAATTGGAACTCAAAATCTTATGAAAGTGAATATTGAAAGCTATTGGAAAAAATAAAATACTATTAAGGGGAAAAAAATGAGCTGGAGAAGGAAATGGCACACCACTCCAGTATCTTTGCCAAGAAAACCCCAAATGGGGTCATGGAGAGTCAGACACAACTGAAATGATTGAACAGCAAAAAAGTGGAGATATGACAGGCACCCAAATAACTAGAATACAAAATAGAACATAGCAATTCAGTTCAACAATTCAGTCATCATTTATTAAGCGTGTACTACTTACTACAATGTCTTGTGCCCGAAGGCATGAAGAGACAAACAAAATGTTCTTTGAGGAGGATTAACATAGTATGTAAAAGTGTATGGAATGCTGAATGTGGAGTCAAGAAGACATAGATTCAAAATCTGCCTCTGATACTTTCTAGCTGTGTAAGCCTAGGGAAGTCACTTGACAGCTCTCTGCCTCAGTTATATCATCTGTAAAATGGGGATAACAATAATAGCATCTCCTTTCCAGTGTTGTTGTGAGGATCAAATGAGATACAAAGCATTTTGTAAGCTTAAAAACTTTATGTAATGTTTATATTATTAGCTACAATTTCTGTATTATGAAAGAAAGCAGAGTAGGAAGTGATAGGAGACAAAGGACAGGTCCGGATAAAGTGGTCTAGGAAAATTTGAGAATAGCAATAATATTTTTGGCTGAGGAAGCGGTGATCAAGTAAGGCTACACAGAGGGAGTGGCACTTGCGTGCAGCCTTGGAGGAAGCAAGCCTTTTCAGGTGTGTGCTGGCAAATGTTTAATATCTGGCTCTCTGAAAAAGATTACACATGACACACTTCTAAGTTTAATTGCATTATTAACATTTTCTCCATCACTTTCTTAAATCTAGACAATCAACAAAACAAAAAATTAAGCCCTGATTTGTAGCCTTTGTTTGGTTTCTGAGGTGTCGGTGCTCACCTGAAAATTTAACAATTGGCTTTCTGGTATAAGCTGGCTCCAGTACACCATTAGATATTTTTATTTATGTCCTAGCCCCTGGTATGGACCACTGTATACAAGAGGTGACTAACACATGATTGTAGTTGATTTGTGAGTCTTATGTGCTCTGTAGCTATAACTTAAGGAACAATTTCAGATATTTAAAAGCATCCAGCAGAGGGAGTCTGGGATCAAGTCTGTGAGTAAAAGGAAAAAAAAAATTTTTTTTCCTTACTGTTCTTTTCCAAGGCTCTGAGCATCTTGAGGATGTGGATGCCTGTAGCCTCTGACAAACAGATGTTTTATCACCCATTTCCATACAGAAACAGGAAAATGATAAAGACTGAGGATTAAGGCAGGGTTCATAACATCCAGTTCATCACCATTTTCCTCCTTTGTCCTTCTTTGGCAATGAGGGGTGGTGGCATGGTATGATGGAAAGAACATTGGCTCTTTTAGAGTCAGACCTCTAGGGTCCAAATCCCTACTTGGCCACTATGACCTTGGGCAAGTCACTTCTCTTTTCTGGGCCTTGGTTCCCTAATCTGTAAAATGAGAGAGTTGAAGTAGATGACCTCTTAAGTCCCTTTTAGCACCAAGTCCAGGATCCAGTGATCTTCAGGGGTAGGTTGGAGTTCATTCCCTTGGGACCTGAGTGAAAGAAGAACCAAATAACCTTTAAATTCATTCCAGAGACACAAATGATGCACGTTGGAGTCGAGACATGACCTTCAGTGGAACTCAGCGGCCATTTGTCTTTGCATGTGACTGTCTGAATGTGTGTATACATGTTTCCATATTAGCTAAATTCCATTGCTAACCTTCAGCCGACAAATTAAGTTTATTGTGAGAAAATAGCTGAAAAAAATCCTGTTTTCATAAAATCGATCTGACTGTCCATTTATTATAATTTAGCAAGACATAGAAGCCGCTGAATTTTAGTATATAAAACTCTGCAGTGACAGATCTGCCAGTTGGTTCTTCTGTCCCAAATTGATGCCAGATAGAGCTTTGTCAAATGGCTCCCCTGGGTGATTCTTTCATGGCTGGCACTGTACTGCCAAGAGGAGAAGGTCTTTTATGCAAGAGACAAATGGGAGCCTGGGAATAGCATGATAGGTTTTCTCCTTTTTCCCCGTGGTGGATTGCTGAGCAAACTGGTTTGTAATAGGGATCAAAGGCCCTAACCTCTGAACACAGACACAGTAGTAGTAGGACCTTTTCCTTCTAATTACTCATGCCTTCATCAGCTTCAGAGTGCTTTTCTCTGTTGCAGGTGGCATTCCCTCAGTAGCTGAGTAGAGGGTCTTCATGAGGTGCTGTGGCCAGAGAAAATGCATCATCTGGTGGCCAGTGCTGTGGTGATAGGCAGCTCCTTGGTTCTTCAACAACAGACCCACGGACTGTTGCCAGGCTGTTTAAGAAGCCCTTTCTGTTTGGTACAACCTGCCAGAGTTTAATCTCTGGACACAATCTTCAAGAATCTAGGGTCACTTCCATGGATCAGTGAGGTGTCAGAAGAGGACTTACACAGAGGGCATGATAGTGGACTGTTTGACAGATAGCTTTGTATACCATTGTCTTTATGTATTACTCTCACAGATAACTCGAGTCAGCCTCAAAAATTGCTAAGGAAGCAAAGTGTGTTTATACTCATGCCAGGGACGCAAATGGTACATGTTGGAATCAAGACAAGGCCTTCAGTGGAGCTCAGCGGCCATTTGTTTTTGCATGTGTCTGTGAATGTGTGTGTACATGTTTCCATAAATTCCATGGCAAACTTTCAGCCCACAGATTAAGTTTATTGTGAGAAAATAGCCAAAAGAATCCTGTTTTGCCCCCTTCACATCCTTTGCTTCACTCTCTCTTGTTCCGTCTCCTTCAGTGTCTCATATTTCTGACCCTGCCCCCACTTCATCAGGACTGTTTTGTATTCCTTCTTGTAGTCCCAAAGGACAGCAGTCCGTTTAATCAGATAATCTGATTATTATTTTCACTTGTTAATAGTAGAGTTTCCCAATCAAATGGCCTAACCTAAATCGAATATCAGTAGCAGCAAATATTTCTATGTCACTTTAAAGTGATTTGGCACTTCACAAGAACTTATGAGATACAGAAAGTAATATGATTCCCATTTTGCAGATGAGGAAACTGAGGCTCAGAGAGAAGTGACTTGCTTAAGCAGCAGATAGCTACTAAGTGGTGGGTCCAAGTTTTCTATTTCTAGACCCAATGCCATCTCCACTCCATCTAGCAGGGAGATTCAAGGGTTTTTTTTTCCCCCAAAAGGTTAAAGAATGATGTTGATGGTTATTTCTGGTACAGTGGCGGTAGAGCAAACATTTTTTTGGACAGTCAGGCCTTTTCACTATAACCCCTCCTCACTGTCTGACAGCCTGAACGAGAAGAATGGTCTGCTTGCTAAAGTGGAGCTTCCCTGCAGATAAACAATCCCTATTACAGGAAGCTCCCCAGCTCCCAGACTCGTGAATTGGGGCATCTCCTGCGGTGAAGCCTTTTCAGACAGCACGTTCTGAAGCAGGCAAATTGAATAGATCGGGTTTAGCTTAGTGTTCTTGGAAACTCGACTGACGCAGGCAGCCTCAGAAACGAACTGGCATGAGCCCTTTCTGTGTTTAATTTCAGGTTTGGATGCTGACGGGGGACAAACTGGAGACAGCCACATGTACAGCCAAGAATGCACATCTGGTAACCAGGAGCCAGGACATCCATATTTTTAGATTGGTGAGTCTTTTCTGTGTTAAGACTACGCGGAGTGTGGTGAGCGTGGCTTTCTCCAGAGCATATGCTGACTTTCCTGGTGGGGGGTGTTAGGAGTACAGGAAAGGAGTTAAGGAGGACTAATTAGAGATAATGTAGGGGCAGCTAGGTGGCACAGTGGAGAGAGCACTGGCCCTGGAGTCAGAAGGACCTGAGTTCAAATCCGGTCGCAGGCACTACTAGTTGGGTGACCCTAGGCAAATCACTTAACCCTGTTTGCCTCGGTTTCCACCTCTGTCAAATGAGCTGGAGAAGGAAATGGCAAACCACTCTACTAACTTTGCTAAGAAAACCTCACTTGGGATCATGAAGAGTTGGATGGTAACTAATTGATAACACCCCCTCCCCCCAAAAAAAAAGGAAAAAGAAAAGAAGTTAGAGGACTGAAGAACAGAAAGAAGACTTGGTACGATTGGCTTAAGTGGAATTCAGTGGTGCCTGGAACCAGGCGCTGAGTTGGATTGAAGGTAAAGGATTTTTATCCTTTCAGAGGGTTAAGAATAGCTTTATAGTTAGGTCACGAGGTATTTTTTCCTCAATATAGCCTCTTAAGGCAGATTGTGAAAGCTTTATTCCCCTGTTTTGGACATGAAGAAACTAAGGGTTACAGAGCTGACGTAAGTGATCTGTGGTTACACAGCTAGTGACTATCAACACTAGGGTCCATAGCCACATCTTCTGATTCCAGATCTTAGTTTCTTTTTCCAGCTCTTTATGATGTTTCTCTATCTTTTTTCTTTTTCTTTCTTTCAATCTCTTTCTCTTTTAACCTCTTTCTCTTTTCCTCATCCTTCTCCTTTTCCTTCCCTCTTTCCTGCTCCCTCTTTCTGCACACATGCAAATGTGTAAAGAGAGATGATTATAACCTGTTGCCCAGGGGTCCCTTTCTCTGTAAGAAGACTTGACTCTGGAATTAGATGGACTGGGTTCTTTCCAAGGGGACCTGACCCCAAGAAGGAGGATCAGTATTCTCTCTGGTTCTCTGGCTCATTGACCCTACCCTAAAGTAGTACCCCTGGGGAAATCTCTAAAACTAAGTTTAGTTATAGTTCATGTCTAGAGCCTAGAACCTCTCAGAGTAGGTAACCAGATCCTTTCTAGAAAATGTACTCTGTGATATGGGCATGAGGTACACTGCGGTTATTTTAAACACAGAAGACTCAGGCATGCATTAACAAATGCAGAAATGTAAAGCAACAGTCCATCATACCCATACTCTCATGTAAGGTAAAGGCAACTTTATGGAACTGATGAAATAGATATTCTAGTTTCATCTCAGACCTGCATGTCTGAGCAGTGCTCAAGGTTTGGATCTCTCAACGCCATGGCTTGTTCCGGTTTTTCAGCGGCAACATCAGCCTGGTAGTGGTGGTCCTCCTCCTCTGAGAAATGGTGCTCATGTGGGAATGGCCCATGAGGTTACCACCAGGGCTGGAAATGCCCTTTTATCAGGATCACTGGTTATTGGCCTTTGATGCTCAGATAGAAAACATACACGTATACATGCTTTCTTTTTCCTTAGAATATGTTAGGGGTAGGAAATGCACCTCTGATTTCATCAGTATAGAGAACCTCCCACTGCCTGTGTTGGCTGGCACCTTCTGTGTAACTCTTTAGAGTCTTACCAAGTTGCCTGACCTCTCTGGCTTTCTTTTAAGTCCCAACTAAAATCCCCACCATTTATAGAAAGCCTTCCTTAACCCCTCATAATTCCAGTGCCTTCTCTAGGATAATTATTTGCTATTTTTCCTATGTATAGCCTGCTTTGTGTATATTTGTTTGCATGTTGTCTCCCCCATTAGATTGTAAGCTGCTTGAGGGCAGAGTCTGTCTTTTGCCTCTTTTTGTATCTCTAGAGCTTAGCACAGTACCTGGCACACTATAAGCACTTGATGAATGTTTACTGATTAATTAGAACACTTAAAGGTGAAATGGCTTGGCCAGAGTCACATAACCAGTATGTACTAGAAACAGGATTTGAACCCAGGTTTTCCTGCCTCCAAAGCTAACTTTCTATCCACTAAACCATGCCACATTTCCATTTAGAGAATCTAGGATTCCTATAGAATCATAGAATTGCAAAATTGGAAGGACCTTGAAATCAAAGTTCATTTGGCTCAAACCACTTCTCATAGCATGAAATCAGGTTTTCAATAGCTCAGAAAAGTGGCCATGTAACCTTTGCTCAGAGACCTCTGGTGACAGGAAGCTGACTATACAATTATATGTGGGAACTGACCTGTGTGCAGATGGCAGAGTCCTAAGATTTAGAATTGTAATAAGCCAGCTTATCCACTTTCAGAGCTTATCAGTGTGATGATAATGAGAAACTGTAGATTGTCAATGCATATTGAAATCACCAGAGGTAGTTACCTAGAGAGGTAATAGAAAGAGAAAACAACCTGACCTTGGGGTCAAGAAAACCTGCATTTGAGGTGCTTCCTTTGATCCATACTGGCCCTGGGTGACTGGAACAAATCACATGACTTCTTGGGGTCCCAGATAATTCTCTCATGACTAAGTTAATTGGCATTCTGCATCAGTGGAAGGATTTGCTCACAGGGATTTTCCCACACTGAGGAAACCACAGATGGGTTCCCTACCCTTCCAGAGATCCAATGAAAGTTTCCTCTACTTGCTCTAAACCACTGGGAGATAACTTGGTAGACTTTCTAATGCTAAGAACGTGGCTTTGAATTAAAGAGGCAGAGAAAGGCAAGTTTGTATTTGAGCAGGGATTTGTAAATCCTCCTTAATTGAATCAGAGCCAAAAGTCCCCAGTTTAGAGTTGCTCTAAATGTTTTCCTGAATTATAGCAGGGCTAAATCATCCTTTTGGGACTGGATCCTCGTATCTGTAAATGTGCTCTGAATCATCTGTAATTTGAGAAAGATGAACTTTTAACAATTAGTGAAACAAAGCATTGTGCCATATATAGGAAGCCTTTCCTGTCCCCTTAGTTTTTAGTGCCTTCTTTCTCATCAAATTATTGTGGCTATAAATATTTGTTAATGTATGCAAACCCATTCTCATCATTCTAGGAGAACATAAGCTCCTTGAGGGCAGGTGCTGGTGTTTTTTGCTTAAAAATTTTTTTTTTTACTTTCTTTGTGTCTCCAGCATCGAGCACAATGTCTTATTGGATTGGATTCAATTGATAGCCCACATTTACACAGCATTTTCAGATTTACAAGGCATTTTGCATAAGTTACTTCATGTGATCCTTACAACAAGCTTGTGAGGTACATAACTGGGATATTATCATTCCCGCTTTGCTTTGCACATGAGGAAACCAAGGCCCAGAAAACTGATATGACTTGCCGAGGGCCACACAACTCATAAGTAAGGGATCTGGGGCTCAAACCCAGGTCTTTATGACTCCAACACCAGTTAGTTCTCTGCCCACAACACTGTACTGCCTCCTTCTACTTTCTCTTAGCATTTGGGGTAAATGGAACCTGTAAGAAAATGGATCTCAAGGTACACTTGTTCTCATGCACATTTTGCACAGATGGTTTTATTTAGAATCTTGTCCCTTAAAAAAAAAAAAGGAAAAGGAGTAAATCATGCCTGGCCTTGCAGGGATGGTCAGAGTTGGGGATTTGTTGGTCTAGTTACTGTACTCAAGCTTTGAATATTTCAGGATAAAATTGTTTGTTTTATCAGCCACTTCTCTGGAGCATTGCCCTTACCTCTTCTTCATTCATTTTCAGGTGACTAATAGGGGAGAAGCACATTTGGAGCTGAATGCGTTCCGCAGGAAACATGATTGTGCCCTGGTGATCTCTGGTGACTCCCTGGAGGTATGCTCAAGAATCTTTGGGAATACAAAAGGCCCAGTGACAGGTGTAGAACCAGCGGTCCTGTTTTGGTTGGGAGCCACATGTGAGAGGTAACCTTACCTGCCCTGTTTTGTGTTCTCCTGACTCAGGTGTGTCTGAAATATTATGAGTACGAGTTCATGGAACTGGCCTGCCAGTGTCCGGCGGTGGTCTGCTGCCGCTGTGCCCCCACCCAGAAAGCCCAGATTGTGCGCCTGCTCCAGGAACGGACAGGAAAACTCACCTGTGCAGTAGGTAGGAATTTTTAAGTCTAGAGATTCAACCCTAGTTAGCTCCTTTTATCTAAAGAGGCAGCATGGTGCATTCAGAACACCTAGATTTACACCCAGCTCTACCATTATTACCTATGAGTCTTGTGGCAACTTGCTTTATTTTCTTATTCAACAAACACACTTAGGGTGTGCAAAGGAGTGCACCAGATGTTGGGGAAGTTACAGTTTTAAATAAGAAACAATTCCTACCCTCATAGAACTTAGTCTAGTAGAGAGATAAGATATCAACAAAAATAATGATAGTACCCAATTTTCCATGACAGGTACATTACAGCTGCAAAATTAAAATAAGGTGATAAGTCTGGTTTAAGGGAGAAGATGATGTGTTGGGAGGGAGTGGGGCAAGTAGGGAAATCAGAGAGAGCATCACAAAGGATGTGATATTTGAACCCTATATCTAAACCATATCTCTAAAGCCTTAGTTTACACATCTGTAAAATAAGGATAATAATACTTGTACTCTTTACCTCAAAGCCTTATTTTAAAAAGAAAATGCTTTTAGGAATTGTAAAGTTTTGGGGAGATAACAGATGCTGCTATTATTCCCAACATTTTGCTGCTCAAATTTTTAATGTTGGTGGGATAATGATGCCAATGATAACAGATCATTCAGAGGACTATCAGATCCCCCAATTCACTGGTTAATAGACTGAGTTCATGTCTGAGCATCCAAATACTTTTCAACATCCAAATTTTCACCCCTCAATTTATTGTTTTGCTCTTTAAATATTTCCCTTTATGGGAAGAAAAACTTTGTTCAGTTAGTGCTTAAAGCTAAACAACCTGGTAAAAATATTTGTAAATTTCTGATTTGTAGTTCCCAGGCTTGTTTTTATTTGGTGAAGAGCATTGGGTCCACATTTTGAATTAGGCCCTTTTTTGATAGTGAGAGATAGCTAGGTACAATGGATAGAGGGCAGCCTCTGACTCAGGAAGCCTTGAGTTCAAATTCTGCCTTAGACGCTTAATAGCTGTGTGGCCCTAGGCAAGTCACTTAATCTCTCTTAGACTCAGTTTCCTCATCTGTAAGAAGGTGATCATGATAGCATCTACCTCACAGGGTTGTTGTAAGGATCAGACAATTTAACATATGTAAAACAAAACTTAAAGTGTCACATAAATGTCAGTTATTTTTATTGTTAGGGGTATGGGAGCCCTGTTTTCTGACCATTCCCAAATCTCCATCTTTTGTTTCTGTTTGGCTTGCAGGTGATGGAGGCAATGATGTGAGCATGATTCAGGAATCTGATTGTGGTGTAGGGGTAGAAGGAAAGGTGAGTGAGTAAATAAAAGAAGTGTTTTTGCATTGATTGTTCATTGAGCCTTTTGGTAGCTAATTTGTGAGGGTCTTACCAATGGTATCACTAATTATCAGGTGTTTTATACATCATGAGAGGTAATGTGATGTGGCACTAGTGGATAGGGCACCAGCTGTGGTAGGCCACTAGACATTAAGTCAGAAAGACCTGAGTTCAAATCTTGTTGCAGAAACTTACTTGCTTTGTGACCTTGGGAGGTCACTCAACTTCTCTGTGCCTCAGTTTCCTTATCTGAAAAATGAAGAGGTTGGACTTGATGCCCTCTGAGGTCCCTTCCAGCTCTATATAATCTCTGATGCTATAATCTTAATCCCTTCACCCAGTTTTTTTCTTCTTAAGCTCCATTTAAAAATCCATTTGGAAAATGCTGGGAAATTCAGAGTACAAGAAACCATGTAAGAAGTGTTCTTAAAAAATGAGACAAGCCACATTAGTATATTTTCTATATATCTAAAATTTATTCTTTGAAGTGTCAATTATTGGTAATATTTTTAGCAATCCTCCTGGGATTATTTCTAAAATAGGCTACATAGTTTTTTATGACTCAGTGTCAGTATTAACTGTTGTCATAAGTTTTTGGATTTTCGCTAGTAAGTTCTAAGGTACTAATAAGTTACTAAGTAAATTCACTAGGTAAGTTACACATCAATATGATTAGCCCCCAGTTATGAGGGACTGCCAAGCTGCCTAAGGTTGTGATGAATTGGCCCAAGTCAGAAGCAGAGTCAGGCAAATCTTCTATTCCAATCAGTAGTGGGATCGGGTTCTATGAGTAGCCCCTGCACTTCCATCCTTGGTGAGATTCTTTTTTAAAAAAAATCAAACTCATTAATCATTATCAAACATAAATACTTGAATCTGCAAATGAGAACAAAAATTGCACCTGAAAACTTAAGCTTCTGCTTTTTATAATCTCTTTTTTAAAAAATGTATATTTTGGACATAGTAGATAGACAGTTACTGGTTTATGAATCAGGAATAACTGGACTGAAGTCTGTCCTGTGACACATACTATGTGACCTGGGTTAAGTCATTTAACCTCTTGCCACCCAGACAGTTCACTGAGATTGTAAACTGCAGAATCAATGAATATATTGGTAGAAGGAGTTTCCTCCTCGAAGTTCCAGTGAAATCCCTGGTCTCATCTAAAGCATTAACTTTAATAAAGTAGCAACAGAACAGCTGCCCTATTTATTTCTCTACCCTCTTCTGAACTTTTTGGTTCTTTATTTTTCCTGATATTGTTGCTATTCATTATTGTCATCATCATTATTATTAATAATGTGATTATTGCTTATGCCAGTGTTGGTGTGTATACTTACTGTTGGTTTGATTCCGCTTTGCAAGAGGCAACATTTTTTTTTAAGACAATTGGGGTTAAGTGACTTGCCCAGGGTCACACAGCTAGTAAATATCAAGTGTTTGGTCTGAGGCCATATTTGAACTCAGGTCCTCCTGACTTAGGGCCAGTGCTCTGTCCACTGCGCCATCTCAGTGCCCCGGCAACATGATTTTGAGAGCTGGCCTTGGAGCCAGGAGAACCTGAGTTCAAGTTCTGCCTCTGATGCAAACTGACTGTATGACCCTGGGCAACTTGTCAGTGTGCCGGGAAGCTTTCTAAGACTAAGTTGCACAGAAGTTGCCATCCTGCATTGATAATGAGAGTTTCCTCACCTGGCGTTTCCTAAGAGTGAAATCACAGGTCCAATCTCTATCCCGAGTCTTTCTTTACATAACTTTATATAAACATTTCCATATTTCTTTGTATTATTCTTATTTTCTATTTCTTGTGGCATAATATTTTATATTACATTCATGTACTGCGGTTGTCTCAGTCAACCCCTAATAATTGGACTCGTGGATTATTTTCAGTTTCCTATAATGAATAATCTTAAAAGTATTTTAAGAATATCTTCAAACAGCTGGACCTTTTTTTTTCCCCTCGCTAATAACAACCTACAGGTAGGTGTAGTCTTATTAGTGAGATTACTGGGTCAAAGGGCAAGAAGAGTCTTATATCTGAGAAGAGCTTATTTTTCCTTTGGGAAAAAATCGAGCTAACTCACAAGGTATTGAATTTTGTTTAAAAAAAAATATCCTTAGAGGATTTGGTACATTCAGCTACAAGTTCTGGGGTTGGCTTGACCACTTAGCTTTTATTGCTGTATCTAGTTATCCCCCCCAAATTGTAATTGACTTGTAATTCAGAATGTTTTTATTTAAATTACCTCTGCTTATTAAGCTGAACTTCCAAGTTGGACCACCTACCATGTATAGCTTGAAACCAAAGAACTAGAGTTTCTTCATTGAAGTCCCTCAAAAGTTCCCAAAGAACGTCTTGTTTTTTCAATTAAAAAAAAAAGTTTTTACCCTGACCTCTTGTACTCTAATGGTGCTCAATTTCATTGGATTTTAGGAAGGAAAACAAGCATCTCTTGCCGCAGATTTCTCTGTCACTCAGTTTAAACATCTGGGTCGGTTACTTATGGTTCATGGAAGGAACAGTTACAAACGCTCAGCCGCCCTCAGTCAATTTGTTATCCACAGAAGCCTCTGTATCAGCACCATGCAGGTAAACAAAATCTTGGGACCTTCTCAAGTATGTCTTGTGCACCAGATATACTCGATAACCGTATGTTGAATGAATGATTGACTTAGGTAGGGACTGTCGATTTGTAAGTATTAAGGATGCCATGTAAAGTGCTAACCCCAGAGAGGCTTTGATTTTAGGTCTGGCCACAAGTCCTGTGTCTGCTGCTGAAGAACACCCATGGAAGGTTGGCCACTAAGGGAAGAAATTTATCAGTCACAACAGTTCACAAAGATAAAGGTGTGAAAGAGTTAGAACCTGTGTTCATGGAAAAGGGACACTCACACTGGCACAGAGAATATATCATGAATCTGTGCATTGGGTGGGAGCCATAGGAAAGGTGTTTAAGGATGAGGGACCCAGCATGTAAGGATCATGTCTAATATGAAGGCCTCCTGATATATGGAAGTATATGGCTGCTTGGAGAGTTAGTGGAATCCTGTACTTAAAAGTCAGGAAGACCAGAATTAGTTAACTAGCAATGTAAACCTGGGCAAGCTCCTTAACTCCAATCTCCTGTTTCCTTATCTGTGAAATGAGAATAATAATGGCATTTACTCCATAGGGTTGTTGTTAGGGTAAAATGAGATAATATACTTTTCTAACCTTAAAGTGCTATGTAAATGTTAGTCATTCTCATTGTAATTATCTTTATCATCATTAACATCTAACATTAATATTAATATTGTTTTTATCATCATTAATATCTAACATAAGAGCAGTTGGGATTTGCTGCAGAGAAAAATGGCCCACTGGGAAGGTGCAGTTACCTGGCTTGGCTTTCAAGCCCCATTGCAGGCTCGGTCTATGGGGGGGGGTGAGGAGGAGGGAGCCAACACTTTGAGTGTTACTGAACTTTAGGAGCTTAGCAGTGAACAGTTCACAGAAACACCCTTCTGAGACCAATGAGGAGAGGAGGGCAAGTTTAGTCTTCCAAAGGCAGTCATTATTTAGTCCCTTTGTGAATTTAGATAAAAAATACCCTTGGCTAGCTGGGGGAAAAAAATTGGGGACTGGCAGTCATCAAGGCTCAGATCTACCCTGACCAATATATAGCTTCTGGATGTTGAATATGTCACTTAGTTACTGGAGAACTTCACCTTTTAAATGGGAATATTACTGCTTGCCTTCCCTCCTTATAAGGGATAAAATTAAATAATTGGTCTGTAGAATACTTTGAAACAGTACAAATGGGAAGCGGCATTATGATTTATAATTAAGTATGTGCTTATGTGAATATCATATTGTCCTTCAAAATGAAAAGTCACTAGTTTTTACCTAATACGTGTGATAGTTTAACTTCCCCTCAACCCCAACATGTCTTTGGGATTGGTATATTGATTAACAAATTTGTGCATATTTCTTAAGTATTTATCACATTTGTTAATATTTTGATTATTATTCATCAATGATAGATTTTATTTTTGTAACATTCACAGCACTTTATATATACATACACCTACACCTGTGTGTATATATATACATGTATGTGTGTACACATGCGTGCACATACACATATATGCACAATACATGATATGCTAACACAAATATGTGTGTGTGTGTGTGTGTGTGTGTGTGTGTGTGTTTATGAAAGTATTTTTCTCCCAACAACCTTGTGAGAGAGTGTGAATTTTATTATCCCAGTTTTGCAGGTGAGAAAGCTAAGGGTCAGTTTGTAACTTGTCCTGGGCCACACAGCTAGGAAGTATCAAAGTCAGGACTCAAGCCCAGGTCTTCTGTTTCTAAGTCCATGATCTCTCCATTACACTATCCTGTCTCTCATCCATTTACTTGGAGGTGAGGTGTAGGGGTAAGCAGAGGAAGTCAGAATGGGGACCCTCAAATTCATTTTCATCAAAATTCTCCAAATCCAAACAGCTGGTTTGATTAGTCATACCCGCATCTGTGCATTTAATTTACATTAACTTTAGCATTGAGCTGGACAGAGCTATGTTTTTAATCATTTGGAAATTAATCTGTCATCACTGTGTGCGCATAGAGAATCTTGGCTTGATGAGCTTAATTCTTCATTGTTCATATGTTTCTAAGAATTCATGCAAAAAAATTTTTTTTTGAGAATCAAGATGGAGAATTGCCTTTTCTACCATATGAAAACTAAAGCATTTCTACCTGGTAACTGTATCAAGGTAACTTTGTGGGTGTTCAGCATCAGAGAGTAAATGAATTCTTCTCCACTGGTCTTATTTGATAGTGATTTGTTTAAAAACCAGTAGTGAGGGGATGCTAGGAGGTACAATGGATAGAGCACCGCTCCTGGAGTCAGGTAGACCTGAGTTCAGATGTGTCCTCAGATACTAGCTTTGTGACCCTGGGCAAGTCTTTAACCCTGATTGCCTCCAGAAACCCCCCTCCTCCAGCCAAACAAACAAAATCAGTGGTGAGCATTGATTTTGAAAGAAATGGATGTAGTGTTTTCATTTTGCCAAAAGGAGCTGTTGGAAGACCCAGGTAGTCAAATGAGCAAAACTGCTTTAGAGACAAAGCCTAGACATTGTTGTAACAAAATTTACAAAACCTTACAGCTGTTCATCATAGACTCATAGATCCTGTGGGTCTAGAGCTGAGAGAAACCCCAGAGGCTCTCTGGGCCAGTTGATCAGTCAGCAAGTATTTGTTAAATGTTTAACATGTGGGATAGGGGGTAAAGAGTTGGCCTTAAAACCAGAAAGACTTGAGTTCAAGTGCTGCCTCTGACACACACTGTCTGTGTGACCTGTAACCTCCCACTGCTCCAGGCACCTCTCCAAGGCTTTAAATTGCAGAGAAGGCACTGACATGATTTGATGGAGGGAATTTCTTTGCTCAGCAGTTCCCTATGTCGTTACGTACCATGTGTCAGGCTTTGGGTGCTAAGTGGTGGGGAGGCAAAAACAGGCTTAAATTCAAGGAGCTTAAATCTTAATGAAGGAACCCCCCATGGGTAAGTCTTCTCATTTTATAGATGAGGAAACTGAGGCCCAGGAAGGGTAAGTTACTTGCCCAAGGTCATACAGGTAGTGTCCAAGGCAGGATTTAGACCCCAGGCCTTTGATTCCAAATCCAATACTCTTCACTGTATGGCGATGACTTTTGGTTAAAAGGCATTCCTATAGGAAGGGTGAGACTGCAGTAACAGGGAAAGGATCGTGGTTGACCACTGGAGTGATTTGGAAGGGTAGCCCCTGCATTGGCAAATCTGTGTGGTTCACCTCTCTGTTTCTCTCTCTTTACTCTGTCTTTCTATCTCTTTTTCCATTTTTCTCTCTCTTAGAGTTTGTTTCTATCTCTTACACACACACACACACACACACACACACACACACACACACACACACACACACACACACATGAATATGTATGGACTTGCCCTTTCTTCTCTTAGGAAGTGAGAGTGGGATGTCTTTGATTTAGAGCCATTCCTAGGAACAAAGCCCCAGCCTTTCTGTTAATCAGTGCCTCAGGTGGCAACTCTCTTTGGACTGCCTTTGATTTTGCAGGAAAATTTGCAACTAAGAATTAGCTCCCCGAATTGAGTGTCCTTAACTTCCTGTTCTTCCACTAAAAGTCTAAGTGCAGCTAGAGAAATAATTAATTTCATTGGCTCTGATTCATATTTTTCTTGCCGAGTTATCACTGTCATTAGCCAATAATTTCCAAATCAAGAAAGAAATGGTTTTAAATCAGGGGATATCTGATCAGAGGAGAATGGGAGTGGGTCTTTGTATGTGACCTTTTTGCTTTCTCCGTCACAGGCTGTTTTCTCCTCGGTGTTTTACTTTGCTTCTGTACCCCTTTATCAAGGATTTCTCATCATTGGGTAAGTTTATCATTATTTAAGTAAATGCTTAGAGGAGAGATTTTTCTTTTTGGAATCTGGTTGCAAGGGAAGCATTTCCCCAAGGGGACACAATCATTTTGCAAAGGCCTTTCAGTGCCCAAATTATTTTGGACTCATGTTTGTTGTCACTAGGCCTGGGTTATCAATGGAAATGCAATTGAACATACCCTTGAAATAAGTTCTTAACCCTCAAGCCTTAACCTAGCTTCAAAAGTGGAGTCTCTTGTTTTTGTAGCCTTTGTTCTTTCATTGGTACTAGCTGGGGATGAAGAAAATACTGTTTCCCTATTGAGGATCCAGGCTACTAAGTTGGCAGCAAAAGCAAACCCCTGATTTCGTATTCTCAATGTCTCTGTGGGGTTTCTGGGGAAAAATGAAACACTGGGATCAGATGTGTGCTTCCAAAGGCATAGGAACTACCTGCGTGTGGGGAGGAGGCTTTGGTGAGTAAAATCCTAATAGGTAAGGTAAGGGCTTCCAAAAATAGTACCCAGAATCCCAAGCCAAGCAAGGCTTCAGCTATTCAGTGTAGCTTCCACAAGGGGCCACCATGGTATTGTTGATATGAAGAGCCATGTGCATTTATAGTTCATCTTCTTAATTTCTGGATTTCAAAGATGTAAGCTATTAAGTATACCTCCACCATCCTATATTGCTGCCACCAGACTCGACCATATTCCTGACCTTAAGGATTTCAGGAACCTTCTAAAATGGAATAGATCTTATATTACTGATTTCTACCCAACTGGAGATTGTATTCACAGCCTTGGCTTTACATGGTGTAAATAGTTCTTGGGAATCTGATGTAATATGGAAATACAGGGCCTTTGAAAGCTGGATTCTCTAGTGCTGAGTAATTTAAAAGAAGATAATGGGAAAATAGATTGGAGAGGTTTGAAACAACAGATATCCTTTTTAGGGTGATTCTAGGAGTCTGTTTTGTCAAAGAGAGGATTCCAGATATTGTTGCTTATGGAATAGATTGGACAATAGATAGTGGTTTTGCAGCCCCAGTTAGAATGAATGAAATTTTTAGATGATTGGGAAGTTTAAGAAAATATGTTTGGGGTGATGGTAAGCCAATAGGTGTACCAAGCAGGAGACAGAACCTAGGATTCTAGTAGCTTTCACATTAGGCCAAGTGTCAACAGAATTGCTTTTTATTCTTCTCTGTGTGTTGCTAGGTTGCAATTTGTGATTTTTCTTCATTTCTAGGTATTCCACAATTTACACTATGTTTCCTGTGTTCTCTCTGGTCCTGGACAAAGATGTCAAGTCTGAAGTTGCTATGCTGTATCCAGAACTCTACAAAGACCTCCTTAAGGTTCATCAAGATCTTTTTCTGTTTTCTAAGAGCACTCTATACGTATGATACGTATGTGTTATCTGAGCAGACTGGAAGGTGGCCAGTCCTCTTAGTTACTGAAGGGTAGATTCATGCCTGAAGCCTGATGCTGATTCCTTTCAAAATTAATTTCCCTAGTGCCTTTAAAAAAATACATTTTTGTAAAGTTTGGCAGAACTTGTCTCTTGTACTTGTCTTAGTTAATGGATAGATATTTCCTTCTGGTAAAATTAAGGCAGATGGCAGTTAATTAGTTTTCTACATAACTCTCTCTAATCTCTCTCTGTCTTTTACTTAGGGACGACCATTGTCCTACAAGACCTTCTTAATATGGGTTTTGATAAGTGTCTATCAGGGTAAGGAAGTGCAATTTTTTTTTTCTTTATGGTGTGTCAAAAGGAGGCAACATAGTATCTGTTTGCTGTGGTGGAAATGAAGTAACACTTTATGTGATAAAGTAGCCATCGTCAGCCAGGATGTTGTATTATGATGGAGGAATTTCTTCTTACACTGTTATTACAGATTCTTGCAAATACTAGATGAAAGTCAAGCATAAGAGAAGTATTGGATTCTGCTTCCAGACTGTTGTGCATTCAGCCGTGGTGTTGGCTTGGTATAGTGAAAACCACCAGTTTGTTGCTCTGGGAGTCAGACAAGCTAGATTCTAGTTCTGACTCTGATACTTATTACCTTTTTGACCCTGGACAACTCATTTGACCTCTTTTGAGCTTCAGATTCTCCAGCTGTGCTAGGGAGTGGTGATATACTACCTTTCTCACTAAGTTGCGCTTCGTGAACCAGAAAGGGGAACCATTGTCATCATCAGTATTACTCAGGGAGGACTATTTAAACATTTTTAGATTTAAAAAAAAGTTTATATCACCTTTATTTCTGAATATATTCCTTCTTCCTCCACCTCTATCCAGCAAATCATCCCTTCTAATAAAGAAAAATGAAGGAAGAGGTGGGGGGGGAAGCAGTTCACCAAATTCAATCAACACATGAACTGAGTCATTTGCTCCACACCCATAGTTCTCCAACCTTTACAAAGAATAGAGGAGGGAGATGCATTTTTCTTATATCTAATTTGGAGACAAGTTTCTTAGTCATTATAATTACATAACATTCAGTTTCCATTTTTTTTGTTATTTTTATTTCCATTTCCATTGTCATAATAATTGTGTAGATTGTTTTCTTGCTTCTTCATACTTTACTGTTCAGTAATTATATATGTGATCTTATGAAAAGGTATTGATGTTAATAATCCTCCTTATCTCTTATGAGCAGTGTGACTCAGTGACTGATTATTATGCTGAGCTTGCTAAGTTGTTCACGTAGTGAAATAGTTGACACTTCTTTTTTTCAGCTACTTGTTTTGGTTTCTAAGAAACCACTGGCCATTAACTGCCATTATCAGGTCTACTTTCCTTTTTAAATAAAAATATTGAATGTGGATATGAAGCAGAATGAATTTATTTGTGGATGAAGGATATGGAATTTTGTGGATGTGAAAACTTTTCACTTGTACAGATCATAGTCTGTCTGTAACTTAGTTCGGTGGTTCTCAAAGTGTGTTCAAGACCTTCTCAGGGGATCTGCAAGGTCAAAACTTTTTGTAACAATACTATGACATTTCAGTTTCTGGTGTGGCAAATATTTATAGATATAACCCACATAAACAAGAACTTTTGGGGGAGGGGTCCTCTGTAATTTTTTTTAATTTTTTTTTTTGGTGAGGCAATTGGGGTTAAGTGACTTGCCCAGGATCACACAGTTAGTAAGTGTCATGTGTCTGAGACTGGATTTGAACTCACATCCTCCTGACTTCAAAGCCAGAGCTTTATCTTCTGTACCACCTAGCTGCCCTGGTCCTCTATAACTTTTAAGAGTATAAAGGGGCCCTGAGACTAAAAAATTTGAGAACTTTTGCTTTGACTTAAAGAGTTGCCTGAGGCTCTGAGTTTTAATTGGCTTGCCCTTTTGGTCCCATAGTAAATTTCAGAGGTAGGATTTGAACATAGGTCTGCCTGACTCTTGGTCCAACACAATAGTCACCATGCTATGTTGTCTCAATAAGATGAATAAATACTTGCATTAAAACTTGTGGGTGGTGCTGGGTCATATTGGGGAGGGGAACCCATCCTTCAGTTTTGTCTGCTTCACTCAGGGTTTTCTCTTTCTAACTTTGTAGGTAGCATCATCATGTATGGAGCGTTACTGCTTTTTGAGTCTGAATTTGTCCACATCGTTGCAATCTCCTTCACGTCCTTGATTCTTACTGAGCTGCTGATGGTGGCATTGACAATTCAGACGTGGCATTGGCTCATGATAGTGGCGGAGTTGCTCAGCCTTTCCTGTTACATCGCCTCCCTGGTCTTCTTACATGAGTTCATTGGTAAGGTACCAATTGATTTAAACCTAGTAAAAGCTGATATGAGATCCAAGTTCATAGCAGTCAATAGATTGGGAGACTGACATGATGAAGAGCATCTCTCATGCTTGTGGTTGACATCAATGACGTACTATCAGTAGTTCTCATTTTTGAATTGTTTTTCTAGTGGGGCAGCATTGTTTAGTGGATGGAGACTCAAGATTCAAAGACAAGAAAAACTAGGGTCACATACTGCCCCTGACATACATTGATTATGGCATTTCACCTCTCAGTAGTGTAGACAACTCTGAGATACTCTGAGTTGCAGAGAAGATGCTAACTTGCATTGGTAGAGATAGTGTCTTCACCTAGAAGTTTTTTATACCAATGGGAATCACAGATCTTGTTCCTATTCCTTCCCTTTTCCAGTATTGGTTGATTGGTGCCAAGCCATGTGGACTGTCCAATTCAATCCAATCTAATAAGCATTTATTGAGTATTATGTGTAAGGTTGTGTGTTGGGCATGTAGAATAATTTGTCTTGTTTAGCCCTCTTTTTGACAGGTGGCAGAATTTTGTGATATGATTGGTATTTAAAGTATGAACTTTGGTTGGGAAAATTTTAGGTTCAGGTTGCATCTCCATGTGATCTATCTACTGAGCCTACCAGGCTCTAACTAGCTGAGCTCATTGGAGCAGAAGTTCAAGGAGACAGGACAGCCACAAGTTCATTGTCAGGCCCCAAATATAAAATCGGTGGGGAAATGTGGTTCATATGAGCTTTGCATATAGACTGTGGTATTTAGTGGCATATAACAGTTAACAGTGGTCCCTTCCAGCCACACTTGCTCCTTCTGTCCCTCAAATTCCTACAACAGTCTGGATCTTTCTTATTGTATGTTGCCATTCCACCTTATATTAATGTTATTTGTATACCTGACTCCTTCCCTACTAGACTCTGAACTCCATGAAGTCACAGATCACGCCTAATGTACCTAGTATGTAGTGACTGCTCGGCAAGTGTTCGTTGAATGAATTAATCTCTTAAGCTACTCCAAAGTTGGTCACCTTCGACATGATCCTCTGGGAATAGTGGCTATGAGTAGCTTTCAGCAGTGTCCCTAGTATCCTAATTAGAGACGTTCCAAAAAGAGAGGTGGAAATCTTTCCAGGTGATAGTAACATGAGAATTGATTGGCAGTTAGATTCTAAGTCTGAAAGTTCTTCTCTTTTCCCAGTTTCATAAGCCTTTAGCATGTGGGTCATCCAGCTGGTCCAGCATTCACTATGTTATACCATGGATAATCCTCTGGTAATCCAAGCTTGCCAGCCCAGTGCAAGAAAAACTCAAATTCATTTGATCTGTTAAATACTTAAGCCACAGATTATTTCAGACTCCCAAGGTCTAAAACTGGTGTGCATCTTCTTTTATTTTGAGTCACTGCTAGTCTTCCACAGCCTCAAAAGTGTTTGCAAACATTGCCAAAGGATTCTCTCTGTTCTTTAAATATATTAGGTGGGTTTTGTTAAATCTAGGGGAAGCTAGATAGTGTAGTGGTTAGAGTGCTGGGCCTGGAGTCAGGAAAACCTGAGTTCAAATCCAGTCTCACACATGTACTAGCTGTGTGACCTTGAGTAAGTCACTTAACCCTATTTGCCTCAGTTCTTCATCTGTAAAATGAGCTGGAGAAGGAAATGACAAACCATTCTAGTATCTTTGCCAAGAAAATCTCAAATAGGGCCAGCTAGGTGGCACAGTGGCCACAGCCAGAGTGCTGGCCCTGGAGTCAGAAGGACCAAGTTCAAATCTGGCCTCAGACACTTACTAGCCATGTGACTCTGGGCAAGTCACTTAACCCTGATTGTCTCAGGGGAAAAAAAAAAGAAAAAGAAAACTCCAGTTGGGGAATTGGATATGACTAAGACAATTGAACAACAAAAAGTTAAGTCCAGTTCTGTAAATAATTTAGCTGGACTATAAAGATGGTTGTAGGGTCATAGGATCATAGATTAGAGCTAGAAGGAACCTTTAGAGGCCATCTTCGTGAGTTCAAATATGACCTCAGACACTTACTAGCTGAGTGACCCTGGGCAAATCACTTAATCCTATTTGCCTCAGTTTACTCATCTGTAAAATGAGCTAGGAAAGGAAATGGCAAACCACTCCAGTATCTTTGCCAAGACAACCCCAAAAGGGATCACAGAGTCAGACATGGCTAAAAATGACTGAACAGCAAGAAGCAAGAAAGCTTAGAACAGCTTCCCAGATGTGTCAAAAATCAATATGTATTAAGTATGTATTCAGTGAGCAAGGGACTGTTCTCAGCAGGATGTGGGGTACAGCGAAGTCTAAAACATGTCCCTATGCTTTAAGGATCTTACAGCATAATTGGAGGCAATGTGGAATAGTAGAATATGCCCTGGACTTAATCAGAAGACCTAAGTTTGAGCCTTGGCTGTACCTACTTATTAGCTGGACGATCATGGGCTGGTGCTTACACATAATCCACCACCTTCCTTCTCTGTGTCTGCACTGGCCTAGAATGTTCTCTCTTCCAACGTTTGACTCAAAGAATCCCCAGCTTTTTTTAAGATGCAGCTCAAGTGCTGCACTCCTGTCTTTCCCTCCTCTCCCTCAGCTGCTTGAGCCATCCCTCTAAGGTTATCTTCTATCAGTTCTGTGTTTATCTTGTACGTTCTAATTGATACAGGCTGTCCCAAAAGTCTCAGTGCAATATTAAGTCTTAACGAAATGTTGTCTGCCCCGTTGGAATGTAGACTTCTTAAGGGCAAGTATTCATTTGAATTTTTCTTTGGATACCCAGTCCTTGATACAGTTCCTGGCACATAGTAAGTACTTAATAAATGTTTATCGATTGGTTGATTTCAGTTTCAGTACCCTGAGTTGTCATTTCCTCATCTCTAAAATTGGGATGAGCAGATGTTCATTTATTTGGCTGTGAGGATCAAAATGAGTTAATATTTGTGAAGCAGCTTGCAGACCCTGAAGCAATGGATAAAGGTAATAATAAATATAATAAATTATTACATAAAGAGATAACTGACAACCTAAAGCAGGGGAGGATGAATGGCAAGGGGATGGCAGAGAAAAGCAGGAGTCCCTATAGACAGAGACTTCTAAGAGTCCCTAGGAAGGAGAGATCTATATGAGCTGAGATGTCTAGAAAGACTTTTCCTGGAGGAAATGACACTTTAACCAGACTCCAGAAGGTGAACTGGAGTCCAGAGGATGCCCTCTGGCTTTCTTCTTTCTAAACCTGAAGGCATCCAAATACTGGGTTCCTGCTTCCTCTTCCACTAGGTTTGTAAGAAGACATTGTTCAGTTTAATCTGGTTGCTGCACATCTCCTCTCACTGGAGTTTTCTTCACCTACTACCAATAACCACAAGATGTCACTCCTCTTCTCTCAAAAGTCATAAATACCTATCACTGTGCCCTGTACTAGGAGAAGTATATGCCCTCATTTTCTTTGTACAGAGCAGATCTTTATAGGAGATCCTCAACACATGAGTAGCTCAACTTGCTTTGAACTTATTTCAGGTACAGGTAATAGATTTCTGATAAACTAAAACTGGCAAAAGGAACTACTGGAGAGTAGGCTCATCCCTTTGAATTGAAATATGCAGAATATGTAGTTTCAGAGTTCAAAGGAGACAGAGACTCTCAAGTCAGAAAATTCCCAAATTAAAAAGCACCCAGAGAAATTCTTGCTATGCAGCAAAATGTATGGGGAGGCAGTGTGGTCCATTGGGCAGAGCATTGCCAAAGGGCTGGGAAATCAGCCCTAGACCTGGTTCTGCTACTTTCTAGTCATTTGACCTTGGAAAAGTCACAATCTCTCTGAGCGTGTTTCCTCACCTAGAAAATGGGACAAAAATTATGCTTGCAAATAACCACCTCATGGGGCTGTTGTAGGGAAAGCATTTCAAATATTGTGGAAATGTGAGCTGCTGTTTATTGATTTTTGAGAAGCTGTTACATGCAGGACACTATGGAGAAAAAAAGAAGAAAATATCCCTACCTTCAAGGGATTTATATTTTAGTTATATACAGCTAATTACTTCTAGGAAGAATAAGCAGCCCCAAATGATGTATGGAGTATCATGGAGGAGTAATTAAATCTGACACATGAAAGCCAGGAAGACTTCATGTAAAAGGTGCATTTGAGCTAGATCTTGAAAGAAGAGTAGAATTCTGACAGCAATAAATGAGGCTGGGTGGGATTTTCCAGTAAAAGAAATTAGAATGAGTAAAGACAGGAAAGCACTGTTTGGAGGCTAATGAGTAGTTCACTTTGGCTAGAGAATAAGGTATGTATAGAATAATAATATGAGATAAGGCTGGAAAAGTAGGTTGGGGCCAAAGTGTGGAAGTGTTTGAAGGCCTGCCTGAAAAAGAGAATAACTAATGACCTTTGTATAACCATCAGTAGAAGCAGACTTAATTCTAGGAAGACTATCTGGGAAGGGACAGGAAGGATGCAGATACCAGGAGGTAGTACGTTTTCTTTGTGGAATATTTTTCCTTTTGGGTAGCATGTGGCTTTTTTTCCCCCCTGGGCCATGCACAATTCAGAAAACACTGGACCCAGTTCAATGATGTCTTCCCTTTTGTTGTTGCAGATGTTTACTTCATTGCCACTGTGTCATTCTTGTGGAAGGTCACAGTCATCACCTTGGTCAGCTGTCTTCCCCTGTATGTCCTGAAATACCTACGAAGGCGATTCTCTCCTCCAAGTTACTCGAAGCTCACATCGTAGCCTGCTCATCTGTTGACGAGAACCCTTATTTTGCACATTACTGATGGAAAAAGATGATGTACTCCTATTAACGACTACTTATGATAGTTGTGTATGGATCATGCAGTAATTGCTTGTATGTGCCGCTTCAGTGAGAAAAGACTTTACAAATTCAGTTAACTGAACCCTTTTGCAGAGTAATTGGGGTGGGGTGGGTACATACAAGCATCTCATTGAGTCAGTTTTACCTCTGTTCAATTATGATTGAATTGAGTGGGTGTGAAATATGTAGAAAATTGGTGTCTTGGCCAAGACATCCGTGAAGGGCACCATGAAAGCGGCTTAATGACCATGACTTGGGTCATCATGTGGCAATAGTTGTTAATGATATGAAGATTTCGAGGAGGTGTTTTGTTTTGGCTTAAGACTGTCCTAATGTTGCTTTATTTTTATTTAAAATTGTCTTTCTAGTGAGGTACAGTGGCACTTGATACATTTTGGGGGAGATCGTGAGTGTCATATAAAACTATTTAAAAAGAAATCTGCTTGCAATCTCGTGGTGTCACTTTTCCCTTCCTACTCTTCATTAGAATAACCCAGGACTGAATTTGCCAGGCCAGAACCCCAGATCTGATTATACTCTACTATGGTCCAGTGCTCATGGCACTCCTTTCAACCTCACCAGCCACCTAATCAATGACTTTTTAAAGATGTCGTTATCCTTTGTGGTGGATCTAATAATCAGATGGTACAGTGACTCTGAAAATTTTCCCTAAACTTCAGAGTTTTCTAGTGGGAAATCTGCTGCTGAGCTGCCTCTAAATGTGTCGACAGTGTGAGAAGAGACTCAACTAATTCTTTAGACAATATGGCAGATGTGGCTCAAATCCTCTGAGACTGAAAAGGAAAGGTCAAAGAGCTGCCACTCTTCGCTTACACATAAAAAAATCTGTTTCCTATTAAGAGGAATTATTGAAGATGAACCGACAATAAGCCAAGGCTTCCTACACTGTTACCATTTACCAGTGACTTTTTAAAGCAAGAACACTTTAGTGGAGTGAAGGCCACAGACACAGCTTTGGGAACAGGAATGTGCTTCAGTGAGACCAGTTTGTGAAGGCAAACTTATTGAAAAGCAGCCAGTGCTAAAGATTTCTCTCCACCGGGTCTGAGAGTTCTGGGGGGTGTTTCTTCTACATCAGTATTTCATGTGAAACATGACGTTTCAGAGTGATAAAAGAATTTTGGAAGAATTCTGTCATAGGGCAAAGAAATTCTTGGGTTTTAAAATCACTCCTTTAAATATAACTACTTTGTACAGTAGGGAAGAAATGAATGAGTCTTCATTAGTAACATGTACTTAACATCTTGACTTCATATTCTCCTGATGATACCTTCCCAAGTGAAACCTCTGGTGGTAAAGTGAGATGCAGATTCTGATCTAGTTGAAGAAACAAAGCTACCACTGCCTAGTTCCCAACCCCATCACTATCCCAGGGTGATTCCCACTAACCAAGGTGGTTTCCCTGTTTTGCTTAGAGCAGTGGTGTTAGACTCAAATAGAAATGTTGACCACTACACCATACATAAAGATCCCTGTAGGCTGTGTTTTGACTTAGAAAAAGATATAAATATTATCTATGTTTTATTTATTTTGTTAAATATTTTCTAAGTACATTTTAATTTGGTTCAGCAATACTTGGAGTTGTCAGGGGCCGTGTGTGGCCTACCAGCTCCATGTTTGACATCTCTGGATTTGTACTTTCAACATTACCCTTCCAACACCAGAGCAATCTCTAAATTCTTCTTAAACAGTGAAAGTAAACTACTGAGAAAAATAGATTGTCTACTGAAGTTTTTTACTTCCTTAAATTTCTATAATATTGGTCTTTTGACTTGGAAAACCAGGCTGGTTCTCTGGTCCTTCACATCTTCTCAATCCAGCCATTTGCAAAGCAGGATAAAGGATATGATGAAGAAGAAAAAGACTGAATGGGTGTGTGAGACTACGGACATTTATTCAAACACTTGAAAAAAACACTGAGAAAATAGCTTTGCACAGTTTCAAAGTAGGAAGAAAAGCCTGCAATAAGATGTCATGAGGTCTTTGGGCTCAGTTGATACAACTCAGTCTACCTGTAAGACCCAGAGACCTGTTTGATCCTCTATTTCTGAGACTGCAAATACCAAACTTGATCATGTTTGAGGAGACTGGTGTTACATGCAGGGGTGCTCTCATGCAAAAGCTTTGTTAAATATTGAAGGCTCATTAGATGAATGGATAGAAGCCATTGCTCTTTTTTTTTTATTTTTGAGTATATCTCATTCACCTCAAAAACTAGCTTGACTATTTAGTAATCTTTTTCTTTTCCATAAATAAGCAAGACAGACAGAATCATACTTAGGTGTAGGTCGAGTTATGTCTTTTTGAGAACCTCAGCTGGTTGTTTGAAGATGCCATGTCAGGGAATGCAGACATGATTACCATGTAAAAGGTTTTCAGTTCTTTGGGGCCTTTTCTTTTATGTCCCCCATTTTCATCAAGGGATGTGATAATTCAGGTGTGGGGGGAAAAAAGGCTTATAGCAGACACTGAAGCTGATACTTGACAAGAAAGGGAAAGAGTGTTTAATAGATTTAGGAATCCTGACCTAAGGAAGCAGGAGGATTTGGTGAAATGCCATCCATGCCAGCTCTCATCATGTTGTCTAGCTTGGCTTTTATGGAGATCATCAGTAATGAGTATCCCGAGTATCCACTTAGGAAAGGAACTAATTGTCTCTTACTCTGGTGAGAATTCATGGCAGCCTTCTGTATTCCAGTTTCAGACCCTAAAGACCATTTAGTAATTGCTGACTGTTCTCAGGAGTCAGGGGGCCACTTTACATATTGGGTACAAATAGGGTGGGAGTCTGTTTTTTGGACTCAGTTCAATTGCTGCTATAGTGTCCATATTGAAAAAAATTAAGTCTTACATCATAAAGGGAAAAGAATCAACATTTGCAGACTTCACATGGGGATTCTGGCCAATTTGAGAAGCATGCCATTTTTATTGTTCTCCTGAGCTGTGTTGTAGAAGAGCCCCCTGGGTCAATAAAGCTTCCAAATCAAGGTTCCATTTCCTTCTTTCTGGTTCTGCTGACTTTTCTTTTTTGGCATTTCCCTCCTAAAATCACCAGCATGGAAGGGACCTCAAGCTCCTCCTTGTCTCTGGGCACAGCTGTACTTAAATCTTGGAGAGTGTCACTGATTTCCAAGGGACACTCTGGCCAATTAGCACAGCAGAGTAAATGTGCTTAGCACTGGCAAAGCAATCCTTTCCCTTGAAATTAATAATAATAATAATAATACCACCACAGTAGTCTTGGTAGATTGTTTTTGTTTATAGGGGTGTTTGGGTTTTTTGTTTTGTTTTTTAGAAATAGACCAAACCTAAATCAGGGGCATAAACTACTGTTTCTTTATTACTTTTTTATTCTTGATATTTTGGATGCTTGTGTGTGTGTGTGTGTGTGTGTGTGTGTGTGTGTGTACACGCCCACACATCTTCACCTCCTTATACTTGAGAGTGGGCTGGAAATGTTTAGCATTAGGCTGGTCAGCAGCTTAACTCCAAATTCTAGCCTGTCATACAAAGGGGCTTCGTTGCAAAGAACCTGGGGGGCATGGGAAGATCTCCGTTTTCTAAGGAGAAAGCATCACAGTTTTACAACAGCAGAGGGGAAGTTGGAAGAGTACTATCTTTTTTCCCCACTCTGTTTCACCTTTTATGTATTGTTTTCTAGGCTGTTTTTTTAAGTTAGTTTCTTTCAAGTTTCTATCTCTTTTTTGTAACAGTCCCATTGAATACTGATATATGTTTACTAAACATTTCCATGCTACTGTTCCCTATTGGAAACTTAGGTAACAGAAAGTACTTTTTAATGAATTTTGAATTTTGCGCTCAATGGAAAATGGAATCCTAATGCCTGTTTCTTCAGACAGGATTTTGTTTTTATACTTACGTTACTATTTTTAAATATTTAGAATTGGAGTGTAGTGGTCACTTAGGCTCACATTTTTGTGAGGAGTAGCTTTAAGCCTTTACCCCAAAATATATGATTCATGTTCTTCATTTTAAGTTGAAAGCAAAGAGCTGTTTTCTAAGGTCTTCTCCTTCCTAATATGGTTTCCTTCATTTTCCATCTATAGATGTTGGTTTTCTTTTGTGGAGGGAGGAGAGAAGGAAGGTATTATCATCTCTGATTTCATTGCTAGGTGTTTCATTTCTAGTGTATCAAAATTTCATTCCCTCTATGATTCCATGTCACCATTTAAAAAGACACAAGCAATTTTTCATGAATATAGATGATTTTATTTCCTCCCCCTTACCTTCTGCTTTTCTTTAACTTTACCTTTCCTGTGTAGCCTTTTTAGGAAGTATTTTCTCTAATTTTAAACTTTTTTTGTGAGGATTGATTATGTTTTGAAAGGAGATAATCGTAATGTGACATAGCACTGGATTTGTAGTCAGGACCTGTGTTCAGATCCCGGCTATGATGTTTTTACAAACTGTGTGACCTTGGCCAAGTCACTCCCCCCCCGTGAGCCTCAGTTTCCTTCTTTGTAAAATGAGGAGACAGATGATCTACGGCCCTTTTTAACTAAACCCCATGAGTTTGTGAAAATGAACATGTCTAATTGCACAGTGACACCACTGCTATGAACGTTACCTTTTCATGCCAAAGTAACTTTGCTTTTGCACGTGTGTCCTTGATGACGTTAGCCGGTGTGACGAACAACCCACGAATATCTTCATGCCAGTGTCTACGATATAATCAGGCTTCCTTGTGAAGGTTGGATGGTGGCAGCAGGGATGAGAGTTGCCAAAATAGTGTCTAGTTTGTCAGTTTGTAGTGGGGGGAAGGGGGACTCGATTTAAATCTCATCCAGAATTCCAAGATCTCCTTATTGATGTCTCTCTTCATATATTACATATACATATATATATAAAAATGTATATAAAAACCTCATTGCAAAGTATTTGTGAGCACATGGTTTTTTGATTAGAAGGGAATCCTGGTTGCAATATGGTTTAATTTAACAAGAAATCCCGGATGATTTGAATTTTAAAACTTATGATGACACACTTGTGATCTTGAGCGTTCAAATATAGTTATTCTTTTATTGTTTGCCAATCTGGTTCATTCCTGTTGCCTAGTAAAAGTTGTGTACGCTATGCCTTTAAAGATCATTTTAATTTTTATGGAAATATGATTCCTGCTGTGGAGATAACTATTTATTGTGATGCCGATGTTTTGTGCCCATCACCTAATACATGTGATGTAAATAACTATTCAAGTTCTAAAAGGTCTTGACTTCAGTGAAAAATGAATGCAAGCTGTTTATTGTTTATTACTCTTGTATGGTCCAGATGAGATTGACGTAAATGGAAAAAAAGGTGAAAAAATAAATGCAACTTCATGTTTTCTTTACGTACACTGTTGGTGATTTGAATCTAGTTCATTCTTACTAGAGCAAGAAAACTATGGAAAGCGCCATCTTTTTAGGCTTTGGTCAGGTGGCCGAATAATTATGTAAATTGGTTCATTGGCATCGGTTTCAGCATGAACTCTGTTTCTCTTGTATAGTTCTTAATGTGTGAATGTAGAGAAATAGCACTAGATATGGGGTCAGAAAATAGGGGTTAAAATCCTAGTTTTATCACTTGGCAACCTGTGGCCTAATGTCTCAAACCTGCTTGAACTATAGTTTCTAAATCTGTGAAATGGGGTGTGAGAGGCAATGAGGCATAGTGGAGGCGGGACTACTCTTGGAAGCAGAATGCCTGGGTTCAAGTTCTGCCTTTGACATATACTAGCTTTTTAACCCGTTTTAACCCATTTGGTGCCTCCAGCTAAGGGAGAGGGAAAGTTATAATACTTAGCTACTTTTCCCACAGAATTAACCAAGGAAAAATGGAAAACCCCCTGTTCATTATTCTAAAGATGTCATTATTTTTAGTGTAAGATTCCTAATATGGCCACTGGAGCCTGTATTTTGGTAGTGGCTGAAGAATCCAGTGGCGGTTGCAACTCTTCTGATCACTGCGCTATATGGTGCAAAATTTTTTTAAATAAGGCTTTCTGTTTCCTCATCTGGAAAGGGAGCAGGCTGTACTGTAGAGGTCCCTTCCAGTGCTTACTATGTGGTCCTATGATTATTTGTGTCCTAGCACATTCTGTAATCAGAGAAACCCACTTTTTACATAGCATTTTATGGTTTGCAAAGTCCTTTTCTCATAATCGTATAAGTACATAGTGTTCTTCTTTCCCAGAGGAGTAGTCTCAGTCCTTAGGATCATAGGAAAGGCATTAGGAGGCAGTGGAGTACTGTGGAAAGAGTCCTGGCTGTGAGATCATCACTTAGGAGCTAGAAGAGACCTCGAAGGCCATGCAGTCCAATCCCCTTCCTTTGTAGCTGAGGAAATGGGCATGCAGGGAGGTTGTTACTTCTCCAAGGTTGTGGTAAGTGTGATTTGAATCTGCATCCTCTGACACTGCTCTTCACACTGCATCGTGCTGCCTTCTAGTCAGAGGTCTTTGGGTCAGTCATTTAACTTCCCCATACCTTCAGTTTCTTCTTTTGTAAAATGAAGAGAATGGATTAAATGCATTGATTTGTGATTCAATGAAAAAGGACTAGAAAACTTGTTAGAGATCATATTGTTCAACCCTCTAATTTTACAAGTTGGCCAACAGCAGGCCTGAATCTGAAGCTCCTGTCTTACAGAAGTCCAGAAGGGTTAAGCCCAAGGTCACGTGTCCAGTAAGTTCAGGGCCAAGAAAAAAGCCTAACTCCAAATTTTGTTCTCCTCTAGTCTTCTTGGCAAAATGCAAATGCTTAACCAATCTGACTACATGATGTGGGTCAGCAAACTTACAAGGTTGTGATGAGGTTTTTTTTTAAGTTGGCAAAGCATTTTATATGAATTATCTCATTTGAGCCTCACAACTACTCTGTGAGAGAAATGATAGATATTTTTATCTCCATTTTATAGATGGAGAAACAGGCTCAGAAAGGCTAAGTGATTTGCTCACGGCCATACAGCAAGTAAGAGTCAGGAATGTCATTTGAACCCAATTCTTCCTAAGGTCAAGCCTAGCACTCTAGCCATCACAACAAATTACTTATTTAAATGGCTCACTAAGGCAAAGGCCTATTTTACGTTGTGATGAGGTTCTCATAAAATCCTAGATCTGAAAATGAAAGAAAAAGAACTCACTATAACCCTGAGCTATTAATAATTTGGGGAGTCCAGTCCACTGCAATTGTCTGCAATGAAATAAATCCCAGCAAACCAGAGGCCCTTTGTTTTTGTCCACTAGGGGGAGCTTGAGGCTTGGAACAAATGACTTTCTCATGTTTTCGAGAACCAGTTAGGCCCAGAGTACCCAAATGTCCAAAAGTTTCATGCAGCTCTGCTTTATGTATGTGCCCGGCAATAGCTGCCTTAGAAACAGACTTCCCTTTTTATCCTGTTGACCAGAACATTTTGCTGGACTCAGTTTAAAAGAAAAAAAGATGAATATTTATTTGATCTCAAACATTTGCATTTTTGAATAATTGGCAATGAGGAAACCATTCCTCTGATTTTCAGGCTAATAGGATTTAGAAACTAAATGTTCCAGCAGTTCAAACTACTTGGGCTGTTTTGGTTATGAAACCTTCAGTGATACATCAAACCTTGTGGTGTTTTCTGGGCAGAGTCATAGGATGGATTTGCCCACCTCGAAATAGAACTGTAGTCTATTCCCAACTTTTCAGAAGTTAAAGCACAGTAACAGAATTCATTCAAGAGTTCTTAATTTCCTACTTTAAAGGAGTTACATAATAGTCCTCTTTCGTGGCTCTTAAAACTGTCCATGAAGTGATGGTGACATGTATAATTAGGAGCTAGAAATAGCTGGGTTAAGCCCTGGGAAGGAGAGAAGATTTTCTGATATCTTCCTCCCTGCACCCCTCCCATCTTCCTGTCTTTCTTTTCACCCAAATATTGCATAATGTTAGAAATGTCAAAGATTTCCATGGGGTTTAATTTCATTCCTCATGTGGCTGTGGTCTTGTAAGCACCGCAGGGGCTGGCGAATTTTTGGAGGCTCACGCATCCTGAGATAGATTTACAGTTGTAGCTCTACCAGAAGAAATGCCAATCCCAGGGTATTCTCCTCCATTGGGTTTGAATTCTCCACACCACCACACTTTGAAAAAGGGCTTGCCTTCTGGCAGGGACGCAATTAAAACTAAGCCGCCCTTGGCTTTCCAACACATTCTATAAGAAGCATGCTAAGGTTTTATTCTTAAAACGAGATGCCCCTCATCCCCCACCCCCACCCCCCGGCTCCAGAAAAGGTCGGGGAGCACTCCACTATGTGGGCAAAGGTGTTGGTCTCACCACATATGGTCATGTTTCAACCCATCATTTATTCACCAGAGCTCAACCTACAATTTCTGTCTGCTTGTTGTAATAACATGGACTTATTTTTATAGTTCCCCAGCCTCCATTTTCTAATAAATTTAAAGTGAAGCACTTCCCCCCTCCCCAACTCCAGATAGGCCAGAAATAGTGGTTTTAGTGGACAGCATTACTTTACAAGACAGATTGTAAAGTTCAGAAGGAAGAAAAAAAGAGGAGGGAGAGAGGGGGAATATGTCTTCAACCATAGTCTCATAGTCTATCCAAAATGTGTAGGATTAGGCAGAGCATGGTGCTAGTGAGGGTGGGAATCACATGGTTGAACTACATAGTCCAGTTAGCTCTGCTCCTTTCCAAATGCCTCCCTTAACCATGGCCAGCTGTTTTCTTAATTGCATGCTGTTGGTCATAAGAATGTATGTGGATGGCCTCAGGTTACTATAGGAGTGACAAGAAGAGAGCAGTGTGGTACAGTGGAAAGAACACTGGGCTGTAGAGATAGAGGAGCTGGGTTCATAGGTCACCTTTGTGTAGCAGTGGGGAGGGAAAGGGGCAGCTAGGTGGTGCAGTGGATACAGCACTGGCCCTGAAGTCAGGAGGACCTGAGTTCAAATCCAGCCTCAGACCAAATACTTGACGCTTAGTAGCTGTGTGACCCTGGACAAGTCACTTAATCCCAATTGCCTTAAAAAAAAACACAGTGGGGAGGGAAGTCACAACTTCCCTGAGACTCAGTCATAAAGGGTGACTCTTGGCCTGCTGGCAGTAGGTCACTGATGTCCTTTTTGAAGGTTAAAAAAATTATCATTGGTGCTTGTCCATTCCTTGAAGGAATGAAAAGTCTGGTTACAAGGTAGTTTTTTCTCTTTTTTCCTTCATCGGATAATATTTTGGCTTTTCTGCTCAGCACTGTCCAGGGCATGATTGCCCTGCTGAATGTAGGATAATGTAGGATAAACCAGAAATATCGAATCAAGAGGTGAGGGGAAGGGGGGGCGGTGCAGAGTAAATAGGTAGAGCCAAGCAGACCGTCTTGAGTTCTTAGAAGCTGCCACATTTTCCAAGCTTACCGACTTGTGTCAGATTTCCAAGCCCCTTAGCTCTTTGCAATCATGAGCCGAAGAAGGAATACTGTGTTCAAATTCCTCTCAAATGGAGAAATAATAACTAGAACAATCTGTGGAAAAGAATGTAGTTAGTGCATTAAAGATGGGGGAATATTTATTCTCATTTGTCCTTTTATGTGAAACAGATTTTTTTTAATGTAGTTGGAGTAGCTAACGACATCCAGAGCTCTGTTTATTTGGGGTGAGGGGGGCTGGGGTGGGGAGGAAGGCCTCAGATTGGCCCACAACATTAATCAAGCCAAGGAAAAGAGGTGAATTGATTACTCTGGAAAATTATACAGGAATTCTTTCCAAGATTTGGCCGATAATTAGAGTGTAAGATGTTACTTTCTATGCACATAACTTTGCATAATTGTATTAGTCAGCCCATCACCAGAAATAGCAAGGATCAGTCCAAAGAACTCCTGAAGTTGGACTGGGCCATGCAGATGTCAACTTTTTACTGTGAAAGAAATGTCTTAGGGCTTAGGAAAGATCTCGAAGCTACCCTTCTCTTACGGCTCAGAGATGATGTGAGAATGAAAGCGGGGTTATCATGGTACGTGGGAACCCTTTGGGAGCTTTGGAAGAGACGTGCATTATAGATCCAAAGGGGGCTGGTTCTTCTCAGGGCTTAAGAGCTGTCCTTAGCAAATATGTTTTGTGACTTCTTTTAACCAACTTTGTGGTTAACTAAACAACCTGTAGAGTCAGAGGCAGTACAGCACAGTGAAAAGAGCCTGGTTCTAGCATCAGAGGTCTAGAGTTCAAATCCTACCCCTGATGCTTACTACTTGTATGGCGTTTTTGGCAAATAACTTAAACTCCTTGAGCCTTGGTTTCTTCATTTGTAAAAAGAAGGGGTTGGATCATAGGGCCTTTGAGGATCCTTCCAGATTTGGATCAATAATTGTTGT